TCGACTTCTCCATTGACTCCGGCGATGGAGAGCAATGGCGAATCGAGTGACATCAGAGGAAGGCATGAGAAGAAGATGGGGAGGGAGAGTGAGAGTGAGAGTGAGAAGAAATAAATAAAATTAGGGTTTGTAATTGAATTGGTTGAAAACATTTAATATATAATATTATGTAATACCTGATTTTTGATTAAATAAAGTTTAGATTTGATTTTTGAATTTGTAAACTTAAATACTTGATTTTATGTAATTTCCTCGAGTTTTAATGGATGTTATGTTTGTGTGGAAGGGTGGTGGCAACGGGCTGACCTGTGAGCCCGTAACTAATTTTTTTCTATTTTTTTGGATAACTTACAAAAGTACCCCTAAAATTAGTAGTCTTTTAAAAAAATCATATACAAAGCATTTTGAAAGTAAAAAAAAACTGCGTAAATTAAGTGACGTTTTTAATACAGTGGGACACAATGTCACTTTTTTAAGTTAATGTGTCACATTTTTATAAAAACGTGAAGCAATATCACTTTTTCAAGTTAAATGTCACTTTTTTATTAAAGAGTAACGTTTGTCACTCAAAAAAAAGTAATAGAAAATAATAAATAAATAATGTTGTGTAATATTAAGAGGCTGTCTAGAGCAGATTGTAGTGGGAAAAAAAATTGATTTTCAGACCGTTGGCCATCAATTCAACTGTGTTTTTGACTTTTATTTCTTTCATGTGGGGCCTACATTGAAAAGCAACGGTAAGAAAATCCCAATTTTGGAGCTTTTAATCGGCGTCAGACATGCCCTAAGTGACGCAATGTCACTTTTTTCAAGCTTGGTGTCATTTTTTTATTAAAAAATAAAAATGAGTTGTTCATTACTAAAAAAAGTGACAAATTTAAAAAAAAAATGACGAACCCTAAAAAGTGACAAAAATTCAAAAAGGTGACAACCACTTAAAAAATGGCAAAACACTAAAAAAGAGTAACACAATCTACCAACTCGAGAAAATTATCAAATATTAATTAGACCACAATAGCTCCAATTGAACATAGTCTACCCATTAAACACTAAACAGGAATTTTAAAGTCCAACTTCATTTTTTTTTTTATTAAAAAGTGACATACAATATTACGTTTATTAAAAATGGATGTGTGTCACTAAAAGAAGCGACATAAATTTTTAAAAAAGGGACAAACACATAAAAGATAACAAACA